ATGAATCGTTGGAAAAGACAATGATGTTAGGAAAGGTGGAGGGAAGTAAAAAAAGAGGAATGGTAGATGGATGGACTTTATTAAGAGACCACGAATACGAGTTTGCAGAAGCTGGGCAGAGCAATAGAGGACAGGGGGGCCTGGAGATGTCTCATCCATAGGGTCGCCCTGGGTCAAGATTGACGCAAAGGCAATTAACAAAACAACAAAAGATATAAATTTAATGTATGTTATATTCTATACTTCTATATTTTATATGTCTATATTTGTATATTTCTTTTTTATATGTTTAGAATGTAAATATTCTTAATATTTTTTTAAAAAAAGAATTGGTTAAAAAGCAGAATCCAGTCTTTTTTAGCTTGCAAATTCAAAAATGAACACTAGATGGCATCAGGTCGAAGTGAGAGGAAAGTCCTGCATTTTGAATAGACTGAGGCTGCATCTGCACTGCAGAAATAATCCAGTTTGACACCACTTTAACTGCCATGGCACAATGCTATGGAATCCTGGGATTTGTAGTTTGTTGTGGCACCAGAGCTCTCTGGTGGCTAAATGTCTCACAAACTACAATTCCCAGAAATCCATAGCATTGAGCCATGGCACTTAAATTGGTGTCAATCTGGATTATTTCTGCAGTGCGGATGCAGCCTCAGAGGGGGGAAATCTCACTGTGCCAAGTTGTCTGAGGCTGCATCAAAATTGCAAATAATCGAATTTGATATTACTTTAACTGTCATGGCTAATGATATGGAATCCTGGGAATCATAGTTTTGTGAGACATTTAGCTTTCTCTCTCATTGAGCTCTGGTGCCACAACAAACTACAGATCCTAGGATTCCATAGCACTGAACCACAGTAGTTAAAGTGGTGTCAAACTGGATTACAGCCGCCCCTCCGTTCAATAGGACTTGCAGTTTTGAATATTCACAGAGGGGTAACTTCCATTAAAATCAATAGGCAGAATGGAAGACAATCTTGCATAAAATGCAGATAAACTAAACAAATCCAGAAAACATAGGATAAAGAATAAAGCCTATCACAAAAATAAGGACATGTGGTTTGAGTCTTCCATATCCAAAACATTTAAGAACAAATATTTTTTTTGGATTTTGGAATACATGTATTTGCATATACAAGACAGGAGGGAGCCAGTGTGGTATAGTGGTTTGAATGTTGGACTGTGACTCTGGTGACCAGGGTTCAAATCCTGGCTGAGCCATGGAAGTCACACTCTCTCAGCCTCAGGGAAAGGCAATGGCAAACCTCCTCTGAACAAATTTTGCCAAGAAAACCCCATGGCCAATGGCCTTAGGGTTGCCATGAATGAGAAATGACTTGAAAGCACACAACAACAAATAATTGAAATTCACTGCTTCACTCAACATGGGAAATAACTTTTTTCCTCTGGGCAATGGCATAAATATATGAAACACACAGGATACACCTCATTTTAACTGCCATGACTCCATCACACTCTCTCAGCCTCAGAGGATGGCAATGGCAAACCCTTTCTGAACAAACTCGTCAAGAAAACCCCATGATTAGTTCATGTTAGGGTCACCATAAGTCAGAAATGACTTGAAAGCACACAACAACAAACATAAAGAGAGATCTTGACGATGGGACCCAAGTCTAGACATAAAATTCATTTATGTTTCATATTCACCTGACACACATAGCCTGAAGGCAATTTTATACAGTGTTTTAAATATTTTTGTTCATGAAACAAAGTTTGTGTATGTTGAACCATGTGAAAATAACAGTGTCAATATTTCAGCCACCCACGAATACAGTTTTGGATTTTGAAATATTCCAGATTCAGAATTCTGGGGAAGGGAGACTCAACCTGTACTAAGTTAAACCAGCATGAGGTAGTGGTTTGTGTGTTGGATTTGGAGTCTGGAGACCAGGTTTCAAACCCCTGTTCAGCCATGGAAACCCACGGAAAGCAATGGCAATCCTGCTCTGAATCACTCTTGTCATGAAAATCCTACAACAGGGTCACCACAAAAGTTGGAGTTTACTTAAAAACGAATAGCAACAAGAACAAAAATAAGGTTAATACAACATGGAGGCAACACTGTGCTCTCCATAATTAACCTACAATCCTTTGGTTGGCAGATACCTCTTGCTTGTGGCAGGCTTTCCCCCAGCTTTCACTTGGTTCGCCTCTCTCATTTGGGGAGGTAAAGGCTGGAAACCCACTGGTACATTATGCCAGTGTAACTGTGCTATGCATTCTCCAATGTGGTGTAGTGGTTTGAACACTGGACTACAACTCATGAAACCCAGTGGGTGACAAAAGGGAAGGTTCTAAGTATAAATTACGAGATGAGGCCGGAAATTTATCTTTTAAATATGGTAAACAAAATTCCAACACAGATTGAAAGAAAATATTCACAAATGTATATATGATAACGGCAGTGAGAATGACATTAGCACAGTACTGGAAAAAACAAGAGATGCCAGAAATAGACATTTGGTTACTTAAACTAGTAGAAATTATTGAAACAGATAAACTAGCTGCTTGTTTAAATCACAAAGATAAAGAGGTCATTGAAAAAGAATGACTCCCAATTACAGACTATGGGCCTTTGCAGACTGCTAGAAAAAGTGCAACTTGAGTCCACTTTAACTGCCCTGGCTGTGCTAGGGAATCATGGGAACTGTAGTGCTGTAGTTTTTTCTGAGACATTGAACCTTCTCTGTCAGAGAACTCTGGTGCCACAATAAACTACAGTTCCCATGATTCCCTAGCACTGAGTCAGGGCAGTTAATGTGGACTCAGTTTACACTATTTCTGGCAGTCTGCAAAGGCCCTATTGTAAACTAAAGTGGAAATAGATTGTAGGAACATGAAGGAGCCCAAGTTAGAAAATGAACAAAATAATAAGTACAGTTAAAATTACATAA